ATCAATAAAAACAATACATGAATAAAATAGCAACACATTAATAAGATAAGAATACATGAATAAAAAGCAACGCATTGATACGGAGCATTGCATTGATCAATACAAATGTGCTATCAACAGAGAATAGTAAAATGGCAGTTTGGGAGTTTAGAGAGATGAATAGCATTAGGGAGAAACTAAATCATGAGAGAAGCTTTTATAGTTTATCACCAAACCCTGAGTGTGGGAACCTTTTGCACACGGAGGAGTGTGGTTCTGTAAAGGATGCCTCCCGTGCATGTGGTGAAATTAGCCACCGAATAGTCCTCTCATCCTTGCACTTGAAGGGGTGTCTCAAAGTGCTTCACATGATTTACTGCAGTGACTGTGTGTATATGGTAGGCAAACGCTCCAGGCGCTCCAATACAGTGCTGGGGGAGTACTGCATTGGCAGAGGTGCCGTCCTTTGGATGAGACGTTAAATCAAGGTCCTGTCTGCCTGTCTGTTCCGTAAACTCTGCTCGAAAAGAGAAGGGAGTTTCTCTCCCGGTGTCCCGGTCAACAATCCACCAGATAATATTGGGCATTCATTTCAAGCCTGGTTATGCGACATTGCTGCGTGCAAATTGACTCCCGCGTTCACCTACAAAATAAGCAGTCACTACACTTTACAGTAAATCTCGTGGGGCGCTTTGAGACATTCTCCCGACGTTAATGGCGCTGTATCAATTGCAAGGGTTATTAATATATTTGTGATTATTATTAGAATAACCGTGGTTCAAGTGATTCGTGATTTTAGCGCTCTGGGACCCTACCCTGCGTGAGGGGCACTATATAAATGCAAGTTGTTGTTGTTGTTATAGTGATATGCAGGTCAACCTCAGTCTCAGCACTGCCCAAAGCATCTGAGGATGAGACGGCTGACTTCAGGCTGAATTATGGTCTGTATAGCACCAGCTTGTTTCAATGAATGTCTGATATACACACGACAAACTGTATAGACGGCTCTGGGCTCGTGCCATTTGAGCACTCGATAAGATTAATTGCATCGTAGCCAGTGATTTAGGGGTTTACGATGTGTTTTTTTCATTAACAGTTATGTAATGTTTGGACACAGCCCAAAAGTCCCCAAAATAGAGAAAAGGACAAGAGAAACTGATTGAATGATGAGACTCAAGAAAAATCACACCGGATGAGACGTTGAGCCCAGGTCCCAACTGCCTGTTCAGGTGGACGTTATTTTGTATAAAAGTCTGGATTTGCCCGATTCATTACAAAAACTGAAACGTTTCGCATTTCGTAATCCTTCCTTGAATCAAACTGCAAATGAAACGACGGCTGAAAATATGGTCACGGGTTCCATTTCAGCATCACCTGCGTGGTTTACACCCAAAGCAACAGCCGAGTGATCTTACTGTCGTTCCGAATGCCTCCGTTGCCAAAGTAACGGTGATGTTGTTAAATTATGGTTCAAATGTACTCCCAGGCTTCACAGAACAAAGATTTTAGTGTCAGACAAGTCATCTCGAAAGCCACACACTATCCCTGAGCTGCAAATCGCATACTAATGGTGTCCTTTTTTATTTTCCTTCATGTAATCATTGATTAATATTGTCATATATCCTGCTCTTAAAGAGTGTTCCGTTGGGTCTTTGTATTTACCCATTACCTTGTCCTTTTTTTTCCGAGCTATAGCACTGTTCACATTTATACGGTAATATTTTCTCTCGCTCTGTAAATTTGTAAACCAGAGAAGATGAATGGAAATGAGTAAAAAAATATATTTTTTTAGAGCAGAATTAAACACAGGATGCTCTCTCCGTTTGCCTTTAAAATACTCAGACGCTACTCTTTACAGTAAATCCTTTCACCCGCTTTAAGATGTCCACTTGACTTCAGTGGAAGAATGTGAGATTTCCATAGAGCAGGAGGTTGTGCCCATGTTTTAAGAGGAAGGAACATGGCAATGAATGTTTCTGTTTAGTTATTCTTGGGACGACAGAAAGCCATGTAGCCCATCGAGCCTGTTCCATCATCTTATTCCCTATTGTCAGATCTTTTAATCCCAATGCCCCACTTGTCATCAGACCCTTTAATATCCGTCCTACCCAACTCTCTCTCTTTTAAACATCCCTATTGATATCACCTCAGCAGCTCTCTGGGGCCGAATGTTCCACATACTCTGTGAAGAAATGCCTCCTGCCCCGCTGGTATCAAGACAATTCCACCCCCTCCCACCCCAACCCCATAATAGATTCCCCCAACAGAGAAGAGTCGTCCACCATCTAACCTGTCAATTCCACTCATTGTTCATCAATCAAATCATCCTTTCGATCCTCATCATGACGTTACTATGTCACAAAGCTCTTCACAGGATATACAGTAAAGTAGTGACTGTGTGTTTTGTGGAGCCTTAACCTCCTCTGCTCTAAGGAATACAGTACAACCCCAGCCTCACATCTTAGATAAAGCCCCTTCAGCAATTGCTCTGCCTTTGCAGTCGAAGGCCTTTCTGTGTTAGCATAGGTTTTCCTTACTCCATCACACCACATGGTAGATGTATGCAAATCTTCCCTGCTAGGGACTCTACAGTGATATTAAGTCCACGACTTATTCCAAACCAACGGAAGTATCAGTGTCTAACTAGTGCAGGCCAGTTTTTGTGAAGGTGACTGAACGGGGGAACGTGCTCAGGAGAAGTGTATGGTCTTTTCTCCCCTCTTGCTCCCTCTACAATCCGAGATATCTGTCCACGTTTGTTAACGATTTCTTTCTGTAAAGCTCAAAAGAGGCTTTTCGTGCCTTTCGGGAGAACCTCCAGAGAAAGAATGGTTGTGTCTGGTTCGACTTGTTGTGACGTGGAGTACGGAGATCGAGAGTTGTGGATTTTTGCAGCCACGGCAGTTGGCTGCTGCTTTTATAAACTCTGGAATGAAGCCAATGAGCCACATGCGAGAGCATACTTGAGCTGTTGTTATATGAGACCCGGATTTCACTGGAACCCAGTGGCCTTTTATACTGGATTAACTTTCCAGCGCTCAAGAATATTTACCTTAAGAACATTCGGCTGCTTGTTCAAATGTTATTTTCTTGCCTTTTCCTGTTTTTCAAAGGTGTCAGTCGGAATCGCTCTCACCTCGGAGTCAGAAAGTTTGGGCACTTTGAGCTTACAGTTTAGGCGATGGTGGTAGTGGGTGGGCGGGGGGGGGGGGAAGGCTGTATTGTCAGGGGTTTAAATTGGGGTGGGTGGGAGGTGGTGGTGGGGGGTGTCTTTTAAAGAAGGGAGAGAAGGAGGAAGAAGGGAGAGGTGGAGTTAAACGGTGAGCAGGTCAGAACGGCTGACAGCTCACCAACCTGACGGTACACATCCATAACACCGACACACCAGAGAAAGAGAATTGAGGGTTCGTTTGACTCCTTTATTTAACTTCACATGCAGTGTTAAAAACAACTGTAGTTATGTACACATCCACAGAACAAGTTTACAAGGGTTTTCTCTATACACGTTACCTCATAGGACATTAAACAAACAACAATATTTTTTTTCTCTCTGTTGAGGGTTAGCTTGCCAATGTACCATAAAGAGATACGACCTGGGTTTACCTTAGCACAAGTGTGGGGTGGGGGGGGGGGGGGGCGGGAAACAACAAACAATTGGTGAAGTCAATGTGGAGGAAATGGAGGGAGTTAGAAATAGTAATATTGAGAGCCAATCTCAAACACTGCAGATTTGGGTTGGGGTGGGGGGGGGTTCCTTGTCACTCTGAACGTGAACGGGTACAAATGACTATATTATGTCTCTTACGGTGTTCAAATGGTTTAGGTGGTCGGTTTGTTGGGTAACAACAAAGTGACGTAGGTGCCTGCGTTTTGGCGAAATTGGATCCACCTTTTAACGTGGCGTTCTGCCCTTTTTTTTTTATCCTTTTAACTTTTACGCCGTTAGTAGATCAGACGTGCAAGTCGGCTTCTCTGGATCGTTTCGTTTGTCAGCGGGCAGGTCGCTGTGTGGGTCGGTGAGCTTTTTACACATCTTAGGTAGAGGAAGAGAGAGAAAAAGAAATCCACAAGGCACGCCAGCCAGTGGTGAAATACAGTAAAAATTCAGCTCAACCAAATGCCTTCTCAACGCCGTCCTCTCTTCTCACCCAAAAACAACCGCAGCGACGGAACTTTTCCTGCAAAAGTTCAACCTTTTACGGTGTTAATCCCGTCCCTCGTCTTTCTTGCTCCTCGTCGATTCACGTCTTAAAAGCTGCGACTTAAAAGTAAGTGCGTTTGACTTACCGGGAGCCAATTTAGTTAAAAGAAATACACACACACACACACAACCGGCCTACTCCATGAGAGGGAAGGGGTCCTCTCATTCGTTGATGGGAAATTCGACAGGTTTCACATGTCGATCACAATGTTTGTTGAATAAGGCACAAAATGCACAGAATCCAGGTAAACACAGAGATGCTATTTACAGAACATTGTCATTACCTGCATGACTCCTCAGGGAGTGCCCCCCACCCCCCACCTCCCCGCCCTGACTTATCACATTTAACGCTACTCAAACAAAGTGATTGCACTATTTCTTAATTCCTTTACACACCACCTCATCTCCGTGGCTAGGGCAGCTCCTTGTCTACTTGACCAAAATGTACACCAATTTATCACAATCGATCGAAAGGGTGGACTCCATTGTATCATAATAATAGTAATCCTGGCCTTATCACGTTTTCGAGACATCCCAAAGCGCTTCACAGAGTATACTGTAAAGTGAAATGACTGTGTATTTTGTGGGCCGAATGCTGCACTCAATTGTGCACAGCAGTGTCCCACAATCAGTCGTGGATTGATTGACCAAAGTATTCTAATTTTTTTTGAAGGGACTATTACCCCCAGTAAAGCGATCCGCCGATCGACTAACAATCGGGTTCCTACTTACTGCTGGGCAAACAGAGGCGCGTGGAGTGGAGTAAGGAAACTTGCCTAAGGTTTCGCCCAGCCTGGGAATCGAACCCAGGTCCTCTCGCTTGCGAGGCGAGCGCTCTAACCAATACGCTACAGGACTCCACGACACAACATCCATTGCAAAAGTACGTGAAGGTAGACAGGCAGCCGCTCTCAACACAGTGATACGGTCCAAGTGACTCAGTCTTAGGACGAGACCGTTCGGATCTATGCCGTAGTTCGGTCGTGCTCAAGAGCTGAATGAAGAACCTTTTTAAGTGCATCCTAGTCCGCGCCGTTCACACAGCATTCGTTCGGCGACACTCACAGAGAACGTCACCCACCGCAGAGTGTTCGTCCGTCTCGCTTTGCTACAATTGGGCTACAGCTGCATTTTGTCAAAACCGAAAAAAAGCACATTTGTTCACGTCGGAGTATTTTTTTTTAGAAAAAAAAACGGAAAAAAAAAAAAGTCCTTTGTGTAAGCAACAAGACAAAAATGCCACGTACTGTACTGGTACTGGTACTTGCACTGTCATTCGAAGTGTTCACATTTAATGGGAAGACGATGCTTAAACAGCAGTGAGAAGGAGAGCCATCGTTCAGACACGTCCTCTTGCGCTGACGCTTGAAACAGAATCACAGGGTACCGATTCCAAGCCACGCTCTTCACAGGCTTCAGTGACACATTGAACGCTGCATTCAACGCAGTCTCTTTGTCGCTCTCTCTCTCTGCGCGTTAGCAGGCGAGACATCCCTCCTGCCTCACCCCGGCTCTTTGCTTGAAATCGGACGCCACCCCCTTTTGAAAGCAAAGCAGCTCCTTTTTTGGCCACTCGCCCGTGTCCGTCCGTCCACTTCAGAGCATTTTTAGTTTAGTTTATTCATTCGTCCCAACCAAGCATTATTAATTGATCTTAGAATTCCTCCCACGTCACGCTGGCTGTTTTTTATATAAAAAAAAACAAACTCGTGCCTTGCTTTGACAATCCCGAGTCGCTAGTAACTGTACTTGTGCATTGGTTTGACTGGAGTTGTGGGCTGGCCGAACGAGGGCTTTGGGGGGACGTCTGGTTTGATGGAGGGCGTCCTCTTAATCCCCGAGCGAGGGAGCGTGCCCTGGCCTGAGTAACTGCTCTGACGGGATAAGGAGCCAGGCTGTGGCTGTATCACGAGAGGGGTCCCGTGCACCGAATCCAGCCTCATGGGCGGCGCTGGGGGCAGGTAGCCGCCTCTGTTAATACTTTGGTGCCTCGACAGCACGGCCCCGTTTAACGAGCTGATGACGTTCTTGGGGAGGACGGAGATGGAGTGCCTCTGCGAGGAGTTCTTCGGGCAGCCCCGCTCTCGCTCCAGAGTGGACATGGGGACGGGGGTGTTGGGCACGTCCACCCTCTTGGTGGGGCTGTGCCTGGGGAGGGTGGACGGGGAGTAGAGCGACGCTTCTCTGCTGGGGACCCTGGGGGGCATCTCTCTTAGTTTGGCCATCGGCTCCAGCATTAAGCTCTGGCGGGTCACGGGCACGTCCCCCAGGAGGCCCTTGTGGCCTGCGGGGCCCTCGTTGATGTGCTTGAGGAGGTCATTGAGTGTGTTCCTGGCCTCTACGGCTCGGCGTTGCTCCTTTTTGCCGTGGTGTCCAGCCGCGGACGCGCACACGGACGCCCCCACGTCTCGGCTCTGCGTCCTCCTCTGCTGCTGCTGCTGCTGTTGCTGTTGTTGTTGGGCCGCTCTGTGCGCGTTGGAATTGGAAAAGGAGGTGTTGTAGTCGTGCGTGGCGTTGGGCAGCACCACGGCACTGGGGATGTGGCCATTCTGCGGCAGCGGGGGCGGGCTGGACGGAATGATCTGGGGGCTCTTCAGAGGTGCCTCGTTCCGCGCGGAGTTGATCTTGTTCTGCGCCTTCTCCCACTGGCTCTTGGAGGCTCGCAGGCTCTTCTGCTGCAGGACGGGGGTGGACTCGGGCGTAGGCAGGGCCGCCAGCTCGGGGGGCTGGCCGCGGGGGTCCGCCATCATCACGGCGGTTTTGCCCTCGCCCACCAGCTCCTTGCCGCCCGACAAGAGGTTGGTGTAGAGCTTGGGGGAGTCCATGTTCTGCGGGTACTCCTTGACGGGGCTGTCGAACAAGCCGTTGAACTTGGTGAAGCTGCCGCTGGAGTCCGTGCAGGACTGAGCAGACTCGGCGTCCTTGTTCATCTTCCTGGCTTTGCGCCGGGCAAAGTTGTCCCGGTAGCAGTACACGGCCACGCCCGAGATGAACGCTCCCAGCACGAAGGAGGCCAGGACACACGTGATGAGGACGTTCATATGGACCATCTGGTTGGAATCTCCGGACTGCACCTCCCAGCGAACCCCTGCAACAGACACAAACTCCGGGTCAGTCATTGCAGGTTCCCACTGACGGACTTGAATGGCCGACTTGACGGGACTGAACCAGGCTAATGAACACATCCCTGCTCTCGCAACACACCACGCACAGGCACACACACGCACACACTCTCTCACACTCATACACACGCGCACACTATCTCATACATATTCGCACACATTCCATTCTCTCATACACACTCACTGTTATTACACCGATTCTCTCACACACACTCCCACATACACTCACACGCACACTCATTCTCTCCCACACACACTCACACTCTCTCTTGCATTCACTCACTCACTCATATGACGAGTGAAGTGAGAGGAGCTGTATAAATGCAAATTTGTACTGTATTCTATTGCCTGCCGCACACTGCAAGAACAAGAACAACAAATTGCATTTATGCATATTATCCTTTCAAGTCGAGAGGATTGCATTGTCAACCGAGCCCTTAAAAGCCATAGAGATAGGACATCAATATTTGCTTTTTGCCAGAAGCCAGGCTTAGTGGTATTAGTTATGAAGGTCTGTTGCAATTTTGCTGCAGGATTTCAGATCACCCGGCTATTGATTTCACAAGCAGCTCCGAAATCTAAAGGCACCACATTTTACAGATAGTTTGTTAAATTAATAAGCAAAAAAAAAAAAAAAAAAAACAGCCACAGGAATGGGAAAAGTAAGTTTCCCCTGGTCCCCTTTCGGTGTGAATCTCAAGCATAACCTAATTAAACAGCGGCCCCAATGCACCCGCTAAAGAGCCTGGCATTCACAGTAACGATTTTGTCTGGCAGTACCATGAAGCTCGAGTAGAAAGTTCATCAATCACTTGGCATTCTGACGGGGGGTGGGGGCGGGTGGGGAGTTTGTCAATGTGTAAACAAACCATCTCCACCCCCGCACCCCTCCCCTCCCCCCCCGCGATATTAACCCGCCTGCTTGGAACTCGATATTCGCACGTAGTATCTTAAAGTGGAACAGGTTTGGAATTGTTTTAATGCAGTTCCTCAAATTCCCGATATCAGCTCAAGCACTCGGAATGATCGTATTAATTGCTACGTTTGATGGGCGTACCTTTCGTGTCGGGAGGACGCCTCAAAGTGCTTCGCCGGAGTGACAGCGATTAAAAACGTCACAAAAAGTGTAAGTGACTGTATATTTTTGCAAACCGATGTTGCTGCCAAATTTGTGCACCGTGACGTCCCACAAAGCAGCCATGAAGCAGATAAGCAACGTTATCAGTCTGGGCACCTTCTATTTTCGAACAGTGAAATGACATCTTCGACGTCCATCTGAACAAGCGCTCTGAGACCCTACCCCATGCGAAGGGCGCTAAATAAATGCAAGTTGGTGTTGACGAGATGTCACTTTAACATCTCATCCAACGATGGCACTTCTGACAATGCAGGGCTCTAACCCCCCCCCCACCCCCAGTACTACACTGGAGCGTCAGCTTAGAATGAGAGTTCAAAGTCCTGACATGGAGCTTGAGCCCACAACCCGCTGACCCAGAGGCAAGAGAGCAACTGACTGCCCCAGGCTGACACTATGGCGCTCGGCCTCACTCTCGTACACTTGCTCTGCATTGTGTGTCAAATAATGGACGTAAAATTATTTAGCTTCGTGGAACACCGAATGGAGCATCGCGGTGTGAAACGCAGACGTGTTTCAATTATTTTCAAAAGCCGCACTTGCATAATGCATTGTGTTTGGTGTTGCAGTTGCGAGCAACTGATGTCGCAGATCACTCAGTCGATGCTGGTTATCCAGAGGCACAGGGTTTCATCTTACTTTGGGTGATGTAAAACAAGAGAAACCATCCATCAAAGGCCTGTCTCGTGCTTTTGATTATATTTTTTTAAAAAAAACTAGACACAGCTTTGGGAATGTGAGTGTGAGAAAGTGATTGTGCAAGAGGAAGTGGGTGTGGGAGAGAAAGGTGTGTGTGTGTGTGTGTGTGAGTGAATATGAGTGTGAATGAGAGTGTGTGTGTGTGTGTGTATTTCCTGGTAGCCTGGCCAACAATCTCCCAGATAAAATCGGCCATTCGCTTCGTGGCTGTTTGGGGGACGTTGCTGGTGCAAAATTGGCTGCTGCGTTCGCTTACAAAATACACAGTCACTACACTTCACAGTGAATCCTGTGAAGCGCTTCGACACATATCCCCAATGTGAAAGGCTCTGCGTAGAATGCAAGGATCGTTATTAATATTGATATTAAATGCGGTTAGAGAAGGGAATAAACATACTTGGGAGGAAAACCTACTCCAGTGCCATTAAGACTAGAGGGGATAAAGCGACAAGGTTGAGGGGATATTAAAGTGCTGGGACCTTTGGGAGTGACATCCTTCTAGGAATTAAAAATAGACAGCAGTCATTATCTAAAATTACTGCAGCATCGCTAATTATTAATGAATCAGAGGGGCTGGATTTCCTAAATAAAAACCATTGGGTAGCAGCTGAATTTACAATAACTATATTTCACGCCGTGACTCATAAATGTTAAACTGATCCTCTGAGCCAAGGCACCAGGGCACCTGGAGCTAACCAATGGGAAGCCTGTTAAGCCTTTGCCTCCCATCGTAATGCACTTTTTGGCCAGCTCTCAAATGGCATGTTCTAACAGGGTCAAGTGCAGGTTGTCTGATGTGCGCTCTTAGAATAAGCTCCCTTGTTATTTGCAAATGAGCCGTGGCATTCAGCTAACCCTCACCAGCCCGTTGCGCCACGACCCTCAAACTGGGTGTCTGTCTGCACCAGCTCTGTGAAAATACTGGGCGAAACCTGGGACATTTTTGTTATGTCAGACTGGCTCAGCTACTAGCGCTCTCGCCTCTGAGTCAGAAGTTTGTGGGTTAAAGCCCCACACTGGGACTTGGAATCACATCGTCTAAGACGACACTCCAATGTGGTGCTGGGGGGGGCTGTTGCATTGTCGGGGGGCGGGGGCGCGATGGTGTTGCATTGTCGGAGGTGCTGTCCTTCAGATGAGACGTTAAACCGAGGTCACGTCTGCCTGTTTAATAGCAACCCTGACAATGCAGTGATCACCCCCTCCCCTCCCCCGCATCCCCCCAAAGCCCTGTGTTGGGGGTGTCAGCCAAAGACTATGAGCATCAAAGTCTCAATGTGATGCTTCGGACAACTTTTTGATTCTCACCAGTGAAAAGCGCTATCGACTGAGCCAGGCTGATACCTCAATGCTAAGGAAAGTCAATAATTCCAATTAAAAATTGTTCCACTAGGGGGAAAGAAAACGATTCCTCCTTTTAAATAATGCCCTTCTGAACAGATTAATGATCTGCAAATTTGATTGAATTTACTTCACAAATCAAACTGTTTAACTGCTTTTCCTCTCCCTCAGTTGATATTTTCCTTCCCTCTCTCCAAATGTATATCAATGATTTCTTTCAGTGCTCTGGCCATTGGACTGAGCAAAACATCTGTCTGTGAGTTCAATGCCCCTCTGTTGAAACCATTAGCTACCCTTTGCCAAAAGATACGCTGGCCTGCCAGATACAGAAATATTGTTTCAACTGGAAACAGTACACAGAATTATTAACATTGGCATAAAAGTACTCTGCGGTATTCGCTGGGCAAACAACTCAACAAAGAATAGAATCATAGAAATTCACAACGTAGAAGAAAGCTATTCGACCCATTGAATGTGCACTGGGAAAAAAACTGCACTTTCAATCGCGCTGCCCGCCCTTATCTCCCATTCCCCTTCAAGCTTCTACCTGTCTACTTCCCTCTTCAAATCCACAATGGACTTTGCCTCTACCACCTTACTTAAGAACATGCAGATTGCTAGACGAAAGAAGACCAAGGTCCATCCAGTTCGCCCTGCAGCATCCTGATAGTCGGTCATGTCCCAAACTCTATACTGTATCCCAAGATATTATTCCCTAAAAGAAATCTAACTAACTTGCTTTTGAAAGAATCAAGACTTTCTGCTTTCACCGACTCCCTGGGGAAGCTGTTGCATACATTTACTGCTCGCTCACTGAAATAGTGTTTGCGGAGATTTGTTTTGAATTTACCCTCCGTTCAATCACAGGCCATGTCCTCTGGTTCTACTGTCAGTACAAGATAAAACAGCTTATACTTGGCAGGTCATTCCACATCCCAACAGCGCTCTGCGTGAAAATATTTCTCATAATCTCTCCTTTCACTCTTCTTGTGGCTATCTTAAATAGGTATATCCCCTCGTCACCGCGTAACATACTCTGCGAAGCCCACGTAAAATAAAGGCACATCATTGTGGGAATCCGTCAATTCCCGTTTCACACAATGCAGGTCGCCACAAACGAGTTTATACATTAAATATGTTGCAAAAGCATCCAGGAAAAATAATTATTTTTCTGCTTTTAAACAAGCCTGAACAGAACAACTTACACAAGATACACCTCAGTGAATACAACGTACAACCTGGCATATAAGTATATTTTGTACAAATCTACTGTAGAGAAAATGCCATCTGGGTCCAGATTTGCTCTTGTTTTTATAGCATTTCATAACATTCGGAATTTGATAGCTTCTCAAAAAGCAGCCTTGATTTGCGAAGGCAATTTTTTTGTTATTCTTTCAAAGAACGGCAGAAAATTGCTGACGTCCAGACTCTCCGGAACGCCGCCTGTATAAGAGCAAATCTGGACCCCCGTGGAATTGGCTCCCTTACACGTTTCCAATTTCTCTTTAACCTAGAAGCACAGTCACCAACGGAGAGGTAGAGAAATGGTTAGGATGATTCTTAGGAAAAGACAACATGTTAGTTCGGTGCACAAATATAACAACGGACGTATTTAGTGTCATTGTTGACGCCCTTTGGGGGAATCTTCAATACGAGCAAACTACTTGCTAAGGTTAGTCGGGCAACGTTCATTTTACCCACATGCAGGAGGGTGTTCAACAGTCCGTAGGTCAGCGAGATGTAGGAGCATTTTGACTGAGGTTTATGTTTAAAAATGAAAATCAGGCAAGGCCTTTTTGAACATTTCACCTTTTACTACGTGATGAAATGTTCAGGGTTAGAACTGTAAATGGCAGCGGTTATTTGCACGAGAGGCAAAGAAAGAGAGGTTGCAAGCGAGGGTGCAGAACAAAAGGGGCGATAGTAAAACCAACGCACAAAGCGATATGTACAAAGGAAACAGATGCAGGATTGAGCGTTTCGCAATGAGCCACAAACCCATTAACTGAAAATGCACAAGTGTGAAACCAGGTATAATAAAAAAGAGATGATTAAACTGGAATAAAGAAAATAAATCACTGCCATCACAATTGAAGGGAAACCTGATTTCGCTGCTTATTTTTGTGCGTGTGGCCTGGGAAGAAATCTGCTGTGTTTATTGATGATCAGTCCTTTCTTTCCAGGACATTTTATGATTAGGTTCTGAGTGTTGAGGTTCAGTTGAGTGACGCCGAAACCTCGACAAACCCATTCCCCTCCCTCCCGTGATCGAATTGAATCCGCAATCAAAGCAATAGATTTGGCCGCAGTTTTGCACATGATGGATCGTTCCGTTTGCTTTTTTTGGTTTAAATGAAAAAAAAACAAGTTTGATCTAAATATTTTTCCAATAAGGCACTTGAAACTCGTCAGCGCAAAGTTATGGTGATCGGCAAAAAAAACCTCACACAAAACAACGGTCCTAACAAAGGGCAGGATTCTCTCGACCTTTCCCGAGGGAATAATTTTAATCCCTTCGTGTTTTAGGAAATTCCATGACCACCTGCAATTGAACCTTAGTGTAAGAGATTCCCATTGGTTTCAGGAGCCCTGTTGCCACCTTCGCCCCATTTCCCCCATTGCTTTGATGTTATATATTGTAACAAGTTGGCCCTATGGGTTATCTTCAATAGTCACCCCTTTTGCCCCAGATCCGTGTGTGTGAGTGCATGTGTGTGAGTGTGTGTAACAGCAGCTATGAATTAGGTTTCCGTTCAGTGGATAAGATTTCCCTTCAAAGGCCTTACCATTGGGGACGGCAGATAATGGTTCAAAGCTATCAAAATTCTCCACAGCTTGCAGCACAAATGTCCGTGAACCAACCACACTGGGAGATATTATTGAGCCACTGGCTTCCTTGGACGTAGAGAGCACCGGGACTTCTGTGTCTGTGATGATAGATTTAAATTCTTGTGTTAACAGTTATATATACTTTTTGAACGGACAGGGTGGAAAAACAAAACAAAATGTTACGAGCGTGTCTGCTCTTCCCGGGTGTTAATTGAACAGCGGGTTATCGCATGGCAGTCAAGGGTTGTCTTGAGCCGCTTTAAAAGTGTCAACAGCGACGTGCAAAGCAGAGGAAATGAGATCTATTCAAAACACGTCCTCGCCAGTCACATTTTAAATCTGATATAACTGAAGCTGCCACGCTCAACTAGTTTGCAACTTTGTCTGCGAGGTGACCTTATGGAGGTTTGTAAGGTTTTAGATGGGGTCGAGAAAATAATCCTCAGAGCAATGTTCTTGAAAGCCTGAGATAGCAGAACAAGAGGACACAGGTTTAGAATTGCAAAGGGGGCAATTTCAGGTCAGACATTGGTATATCTTTCCCTTGAAAGGTAATTAACAATTGGAACAGGTGAAGAGGATGGTTAAGGCCAGAATGATGGACTCATTTAAAAACAGGCGCGGGGGGGGGGGGGATGGTAGGTAGTCTGGTTGGAAGAAATCATATATGGCCGAAGGTCCCTTTAAGAGACAACACTCAATTAAAGAGATTAAGAATGACCGATTTTATCTGTTGGATAATGGAAGCTAATAAGAGAAGTGGTAAAAGCAGACAGGGAATTTATCTGGGATAGCAAATAACAGTGGGCATCTCAAAGAGTAAAAGAGGCTATAATCTAAGGCTTGGCGTCAAAGCTCCAGTCAACATATTGGAAGATGTCAGTAAGACAGGGATGGGAGCCCATCATGATACAAAGAGGCTGATCCAGTGGCTTATGCCTCAAGATCATTATCGGAGACTGAAAGGAAATATGCACCAATAGAGAAGGAACGTTTAGTAGTCTAGTCTTTGGATGCGAGCGGTTCAAACAGTATGTCTGCCTGGAAAGAAAGTAGTCGTGGAAAATGATGATAAGCCGATGGAGGCAATCTATAGAAAAAGATTAAATGAAATGCCTCCAAAGCTTCAAGGTAATGCAAATAGGTCTCCAGAGATGTAATAAAACAGTTCAAATGTTCCACAGAAGTTTCCAGAAGTCACCCGAGTGGGTGTAAAGCAAGTGGGTGTCCAGGATTACTCTGGGAATCAGGTGGATGAATGGAATCTGAGACGGGAGGGTGGACGAGAGAGAGAGAAAGCGTGAGAGAGAGCGCGCGAGAGAACTGCACATTCTTCACTTCCATCTAATGGCTTTCAGATTGGATTTAGCCGGAACTATTGTGCCTGGAGACCTGACTGTGTGCGGGAACACCACCTAACCTAGTTACGACAATCCAGTTAACAATTCCACTCTGGCTTGAAGCAACCTGATCCACCCCGGTGCAACGTGTAATTTATCCTCCGATGGCAAGACCGACAATTTCCTGGCGTGGCACGATGGTCTTTATCATCCTTCTCTTCCAATCCACCCTTGTCGATGGCAGGCAGTCTTCTAAGGGTCAAGTCAATGGCTTGCCATTGTATTTCCAACCGTTTATCCCGGTGAGAGGCAGGAGTTTGATGGTGTCAAAGCTCCAGTCAAGATATTGGAAGATGCCAGTAAATTCCAACCAGTTTACAGTCTGTTGTGCTGACTCTGCAGCCACACTCACCAGCTCACCACTGACTCAGCAACTCAACCCGACTCAACACAACACAGTAGAGCACGTATTGCCCGAGGCCCACGTGTGGCGATGGATAGACACCTGGTGAATTCCAGTGTCTGGGGATCTGACTGAGATTGTGAGTCACAGTGGGAGGCACATCCCCGCACATTTAATCTAGAGGCTGCAATTCATTAACCTGGGTGAGTCCTCAAGAAGCATTACCAAACACCCTGCCCTGTGGGTACGAGCAGCGACAGGCTCCAGCCTGCTCCAGGAAGTGATTGCAGCACGTTGTTTCCACTAGACGATCAGGGTTGGGAGTGTGGTGACTAATCCCACCCACTCCACACCCCACACAGAGCCTTTCCGTTGTTTAAAAAAAAAGGGAGAGAGATTATGCAGCTTTACAGCTGGGAAAGGAGCTGGAGGTTGACTTGGGTTGGCGGCTTCAGGGACGCTTCCGCGGGCTCGGGAGAGGTTCGAACCCCGCTGCTCCCGGCCATTTCCTCTGTTTCCGCATCCCTGACTCATGTGTCCCCCGCCTTAGGGTTAGGGTTAGTGTTCTCAATGCTGATGTTGCAGCCGCTGTTCACCTACGAGGCTGAATTATTCCAGGAGACACACAGCCTCAGCCTTCGCTGACTGGGTTTTGATTTGGTGGGTGGGGGTTGGTGGATGGTGAGGGGAACAAGGACACCTTACTAAGCAACCCATTAACGTCCAACTGAACACAAAGGCGTAGGTTCAACGAGCAAGACATGGTCACGACAAGGTCACTCATTTTCTGCCAGAAGAGCCCGAGAAAATGAGAATATCTATAAAGCTCCGCACAGTCGTGCTTTATAGTATTGTAAAACGTTACTGCTGAAGGATCTGCCCTTTCCTTTCGTTAAGTCAGTCAAGACACTAGCGAAGCGGGTTAGTGTTGGGTTGGTTACAGCGTTTGACCAGGCAGATAGACACGTCGGTGAAAGGAAGGGACCAGAATCTGCCGCACTTCAGAGTGACACTGTTTAAAGGTAACACTGGGGTAACAAACTCGATTAGTCAGAGGTGCCGGGGACGTGCTTGGAAACGCAAAGGGGGGAACGGGAAGAATAATGATCAGTTAACTACGCTGTTAAGGTGGTTGGCAGATGGGCAGGGCTGGCTGGCTATCTGCCAACAGAGCAGGAAAAGGGAAAAGACTGGCGTGAAATATAGTAGCGAGGGAGGGAGGGAAGGAGAAAGGGAGAGAGAGCGAGGGAATGGAGGGTTTGGGAAGAAATAAAAGGCAAACGTAAACAAGAGCAAGAACAAAACTAACCAGATGTTGGATCACCAAATGGTTTGTAATCTGGCGTAGCGGTAGCCAGGATTTCTAAAAGAATTAAAAGAGAGATCAGTGAAACAAAAAGCAAGTGAGAACGTTAAGAAATTAGCAACTGAAAAAAAAAAGGAACCACTTCTTTTGTGCGTTTGAGCAACCAAATTAAAAAAAAATTAAAATAGAAAAATGAGCTCGATTAGTTTTGTCTTATAAATTGTTAACTATTATCATAAATATTAAGAGCTTACGACCTAACTCGGCTTTTTGTTTGGAACTGCGACTTGTCACCTAGATAATTGCCTCAGGCACACGTGGAATTGTGTCGTGTCTCTCAGTGCCGTGAGGGCTCACCGCAAATCCTCAAACCCAGCACTTTTGTTTTGGCTCCGTTCTCCGGAAAGATTATCACAGTAAAACCCTTGCATTTGATACGGCGGCTTTCACGTCAGGAGGACGTCTCAAAGCCCCTCACAGCGAACACTGCAAAGTGTGGTGACTGTCTGTGATCTGTTGGTGGACGCAGCAGCCATTTTTACGCACGACAACGTCCCCACACAAAGCAATTAGGTTGAACGACAGATTGTATTTGTGGGCCGGGTCGCTGGGAAAAAAGCTCCCTTCTCTTTTCGATAAGTGCAGCGGGATCTTTAACATCCACTTGAACAGGGACAGACAGGACCTCGGTTTAACGTCTCGTTGAAGGAACACACTTCTGACAGTGCAGTGCATCCCCCGTACTGGACTGTGAGCTCAAAGTCCCGACGTGGGGCTTGAGCCCACAACCTTCTGGCTCAGAGGCGAGGGTGTTAACGACTGAGCCAGGCTGACAAACTGCATTGGTCTGCGTTGCAACAAACTGACCACAAAAAACTGTACACTCACCGTGGCATTCTCCAAGATGTGCCGTGTTGCCATACTCTACGTCTTGTTCAAACACGGTGCTGGTGAGAAAGGGCAGAGTCAGACAGACAGCTCGCAGACACAGACAGACGCACAAACCACAGGTGGCTTTTTTTCTTATAAACTTCACAATCACCGTTTTGTTATAAAGAGGAGAGAGAGAGAAAAAATAACGTGCCTTGGTGCAATTTACCAAACCTCTCCTTTGGTTACAAATTAGCGTGCAAAAGAAATAATGCTTACTTTATACCGGGTCTGACTACTCCACATGATTTATTGTCCAGCCAGGCACAGTATGGGTCTCGGGAGCTAATGCAGGCTCTGTGGGCAAAACGGAACACAACTAATAGCCACAAGTTGAATTCATATCACATTGGGTTCACCAGGATGCGTAAGTGCAGTCGAAGGGGTAGTTTTTTTTTAGTTGGTATTTCAAGACCGACAAAGAGAGTGAGAGAGGTGAGACGCAGAGGTAGAGAGAGAGAGATCTAGAGGTTAGGAGTATAGTAGCTGTCGAATGTATGCAACTAATGTAGAGAGGATATTTCCTTACTCTCAGTAACATGGAGTGTAAAAATGATATATTATATATATATTTCTATAATCTCCATATACTGGCTTAACAGATAGCAAAGCGGGGGACAATGAGTACTCCGCTTTACTCGATGAGTGAGGAAATCATCGTAACTATAATTAATAAAATGATTATTGTTATCTGTAGAAATTCAGATATTAGCCAGAGACCATGGATCGTGACTACTTTGTAGTAGCTCTCATTTATAATAATAAATAATAATAATTCTAATAATAATAATAATTAAGAAGAAGAAGAATGACAGCGCCTTTACTGCAGAGTTGTGGGGAATGTGTTCTGTAAGTGAATGCGGCAGCTAATTTCCGCGCAGCAATGTCTCATAATGTTCTCAAACTCCAACTACCCTGTGTGTAGTTCAACGGGGGCAATAGTCTTGACCAAGTGGCTGTTCTTCACTGTAGACATGTTGCTGTGGTAACTGCTATCTACTCGACCATTTTGCAGTGTAGGCTGTTTTTTTTATTGGCCCAATCAATAAGAAACGGCCGGATTTCACACCCAGACACGTCTCGCTCGCTAGTTATCTGTGGAGGGTGTGAAGAAGGTCCTTTCCCCATTCATATAACCACACACACACACACACCCGCTCGAGCACACACACCGAAATACTTACACATACACTCACTCATACAAATATGCACATACGCACACATCCTCACACAACGCACACACATCGACTCCTTATTGATGGGAGAGTGTGTGGCAAGTTGGCTGAGATCAGTTAACTCAGCGTTGAGCCTGGCAGCTTGATGGATGTGGGGAGGTCGCGAGCGTGTGCGTGCGTGCGCGTGTGTATGTTGGGAGAATGTCCCCTCTGCCCAGATGTGATCACGTGCAGCATGTCAGAAGCCATCACACCAGTGACACGACACATCCCTTCTGCCTCAGTCTGACCCGCTCTGAGCTGGGCTTTCACACTTACTTTTTACAGGTGCCGTAATGCTCGCAGTGACTGAGAGGCACACGTATGATACAGCTGGAGAAAGCCACAAACAAGGTGTGATGGTCTTTGTCAAGCTGCAGCCCCAGCACTTGCCGATCTTCTTCCCTCTCAGCGGTACACCTTGTTGGTTACAGAAGACAATCAGCCCACGGTCACATACAGACGCTACAGCCGAGCCTTAAATAATAATAATAATAATCCTTGCATTTGATACAGTGCCTTTTCACCTCGTTGGGACGGCTCCACTGGCTCCCCAACCCCCAGAGGATTTATATCCTTCCACCGTCTTGCCCCCTCCTACCCACGTGACCTTTCTAAAACCCCACCATCCCGCCTGCTCCCTCCACTCGGCAGCCACTGCCTTTCTGCCCCCTGTCTCTGGAACTCCTGCCCTCCCTTCCCTCAAGACCCTCATTTTTGACCGCGCCTTTGGTCACCTTTCTCTCCCTCCCCCACTCCCCCCTCCCCCACATAAATCCAATTTGTTGTTGTCGTTGTTGAGTGTCTGCCCCTTTTGCGATCAGTTTCTTTAGGTAAACTTGTTTCCGCGGAAAATAAAGGTAACGTTTAAAATTGTCACGCACTTTAAGGGGTTAAAGACGTCCATTTCCTCCAGCAGAACGCTGTCATTGAGAGAGTAGGGGCTGTTCTTTGTTAACACCTTGAGGACCATACCAGCCTCGGAGCCAATGAAGATAACGGTGTAGTTCTGGCGCGGGCCTGCGGCATTGTCTATGGCGATAGCCGTCAGCCGGTACCTACGAGACAGGAGCACGATAACGCTACAGAAATCCGCGCTAACATCCCAGCAGCGAGCAAAATAATAACAATAATAATCCTCGCATTTATCGTGCAATGCAATTCTCAAAAGCGCCTCGCAGCTTTTCTTGTAGAGTGTAGCGACTGTGTATTCCGTCGGTGAACTCGGCAATCAATTTGCGCACAGATTGCGTCTCGTGAAGCGAATGATCGATTGTATTCAGGCGGGTGGTGGTGTGGGGGGGATGGGGGTTTGGTTAACTTTGGCTAAGACACCGAGAGAAACTCCCTTCGGTTTAACATCTCATGCCAAAGGGGCAGAGCGCGGATCGGGAATGTTGCTCGGGAACGTCCTCCTACCTGACCCTCGTCTTTGTGAACCAGGGCTCCTCGATGACCGAAGGGACGGCAGAATCCATCAGAGGATGGGACTTGATGAAGGAGAGCGTTTCGTCGGGGAAATCGATCGAGTTCCTGAATGGTTCTGCCTGACCGTGTCCCGCGCAGCAGCCCGGTCTGGGGAGGGAGAGAACAGGAGGTTTCGTTAGGACGATGACTGGAAATGGGACAGTGTAGAAAGAGGCTGATGCAGGTTTAAAGCAAAGTAACATTTGATTTGACGACGTTTGGACTTTAGCGGCTTTACGTGCGGTTAAGTCATATAAGAATCCGTGCATTTGAAACAGCGCCTTTCATGTCACATCAAAGCGCATCGCGGGATATCAGCGGCTGTGTATTTTGTGGAAGAACACGGCAGCCAATTTGTGCACAGCAAAGTCCCTACAAACAGGCAGGAAGTGAATGACTGATTTCATTCGGGAGACTGGTTTAAGCAGGGACACCGGGGGAAACTCCATTCCCTCTTTGAAGTAGCGCTGTTGATCTTTAAAGCTATATTCACGGTGATACAACTTCAGTCATCTCCTCCCTCCTTCCGGCTCGGAGGTCAGGCTCCCCCACTGCTGAGCGCTCTGAGACTCTGCCCCGTGTGAAGGGCGCTATATGAACGGAAGCTGTTGTTGCTGTTGATACCTGGGATTTGGAACCCGGTCTTCAGGAACCGCGGTCCACACAGAATCGGGAGTCTTTTGTTCTTTGAATCTTCCTTTGAAGACCTTTTCAATGTCCTCCATGCTGAATGCACACACAGCTGACCCAGGAATGCTGTGAAAGACAGGGGGAGATTTAGAAGGAAGTCGGGTGGGGGTGGGGTGGGGGTGGGGGTTGGGGGGGTAGAGGGGGGTGTTGCGGAAGGATAAGATTGGATAAGCCGATCTTTTGCGCTAAAGGCCGGTCGGAATTTCAGTCCGAACGTGGGGAATGACCAGACTGCAGCAACGGCTCAAGGACTCTTCACCCGCAAGCAGAGACGCTCACCTGTTAAGCTGGGTGGTGAACACGCCAATAACAGTGGGGGAGCCATTGACCTCTATGATATCCGTGATGGACTGTAGTACGTCGAAGTAGAAGAACGAGTCCCCAGGAACCGAGCAGTTCAGTCTGGCCTTGAGGAAGGACGTCCAGTGTTTCTCCAGAACCCTTTGCGAGCCGCCCACGTCGTTCTTACAGATCCGCGCCACCCGCGAGTAGACTGCCTGCAACAGGGCATCAAGACGAGACACGATCAGCAGTCGCTCCTGTCCTGGTGTCTCGGAACCAACGGAGCATAACAACAACAACAACAACAATCCTCGCATTCGATCTGGTATTTCATCGCGTCGTTGAGCCGTCTCAAAGCGCTTCACAGAATATACTGTAGGATGAATCGACTGTATGTTTTGTGGGCGAAACTCTGCAGCCAATCACGCACAGCAGCGTCTCCACAAACAGTCATGGGTCGAGCGACCAATTTATTTATTTGTTTGTTTATTGAAGGGATTATTTATTACCCACTGGATTATTATCCGCCAATTGACTAACAACTGGGTTCTTACTTACTGCTGGGTAAACGGAGGTGTGTGGAGTAAGGAAACGTGCCTAAGGTTTCTCCCTGGTCCACAAATCGAACCCGGGTCCTCTCGCTTGCGAAGCGAGCGTGCTAACCAATATGCTACAGGGCTCCACTCTTAACAATAACGACCAACTCCCCTCGCCAAAGTGGAAACAAATCGCTCCCCTCTCCCGATCGATGGCAAGCAATCAGCAGAGAAGAGGGATATTAATCTATCGTCTTGAAACCCGATAATCAAACACAGTAAACGCTGTGAACTTATAAACGGATTTGGAATCATTCTGATGCACCGTTAAAAAGCTCCGAGGACCCTTCCCTGAAATTTCCACCGTTTCCGACTTTACTACCTTTGCGTATGATGCAGCGCCTTTCAACCTCGGGAGGAAGGACCTCCCGGTGTCCAGGAATTTTACTGCCGGGTGCGGCAACCGCCCGCGTTGTGAGCCCCTCACGAAGCCAGAGCGGCTCGACAGCGGCAGAATGCAATGCCGAGCCAGGGCGGGGGGTGGGGAGGGTGGGGGGTGGAGGGGGGGGTGGGCTGGGGGAGTTTGTGCGTGACGCACAGAGTTCGTTATTTCGGAAGGAAAATGAAGCTCAAATGACATGCAAATATCTCTAAACGCTTCTCTCTGAGAATATGGAAATTTTAATAGATCTTCAAATAAGCGCAAGTTCTCCCAGAGCTCCCCCCAGAGCACGGGGAAACATATGGTGACTGGGATTTAACTGCTTTAATTAACCATGAGTAACACGCTTAATAATTTACTGTGGCAAATCTATGTGGGATCGCTGGTAACATGAACAGCATTAGTGTGACTGAAATATTTATTAGACGCAGGCTGGCTCTTGACGGAAGGACTATTTCGAAAATCTTTCTGCAAAATTAAGCTCAAGAGTGTCTACAAATCCAGTGATTCACCAGTTACAATGCAAACATTACAGCGGGCAGGAAATCTTGAAGCCATCCTTCAAAGTCGATGCAATTTTTTGCAGCTCGGGAAATTCAGGCCATTGCCATTAATTTAATCCCTGGGAAATGTACTTTTCAATTCTCTACAGCGTGCGTGATTCACACTGTAATCACTGTGCTTTCCTGCATATCAATGCAAATTGTGCTGCATCACAACCTGCTCCGAAACAATGCGGTCGTGGGACAAATGGGGATAAGAGTCGATTAATTTGCTTAGTTGAAGCTCTTGTTGACGCTGATGTTTCTTTCTTCCGTGTCAATTATTTGATTGAGGCATTTAAATCAATGAAAGGAACTGATGGGTTTAGATGCAAAGGATCGGGGCGGGGGGGTGGGGCGGTGGAGAGGAGAGCAGGGAAATGTATTAATGTCGCTCTGCACTTGAACAGCAGCAGCAACAACAAATTGCATTTATATGATGCCCCAGGAAGAGCTACTTGCCTTTCCAAGGTTGTTGTGTTCCACAGCAATTTCTCGGAAGAAGAAATAGACGTAGTTTCCATATTCCACAGCGTGCAGGAAGTGGGGCTCTGTTAGAGATATTAATAACAACAGTTACTAAGAACGAGATTTAGGGTCCTGATGGTTGCTTCGTTTTTGTTTGCACGTTTTTTGACTCTTGTCTCATCCCCAAACTTAAATCTCCATTTCTTGCTGGTCTGGGGGCTAAAAGCAACCTTGGGAAAACAGCGCTAGATTATCTCTTCACTCGATACAGCAACCGTTCACGTGGGGACGACGTCTCAAAAGCACCTCACAGCACACCCTGTAATAGCGCGGTGACTGTGCGTTCTCGCGGGCAGCCCGGCAGCCAATTTGCACGTGGGAAAGCCCCAACATATAGCCAAGTGGTGAATGACCGATTTTATCTGTGAAAAGGGGAGGGGGGGGGGGGGTTCGAATGTGGAACTCGCTGCCCAAAGTGGGAGTCGAATCAGACTCATTAAAGAGGACGCATTAAAGAGGAAGTTAGATATACAAATGAGGGAGAAGGCTATGGCAGGGAGTCTAAACATGGGCATGGGACTGCTGTTTGCGTGCTGTTAAGAGTAAATCTATGTAACTCTATGACGCTCTTTTGGCAGCCTGAGCGCACGCTGTATACAAACACAAGCGGGAGAGCTGTTGACTGTACCTTTGATCCATTTGGAGTCATACTTAATCGTCCTCAGAGCCGAGCCGTCCCCCATGCTGCGATAAATCACCGCGTCGCTGGCCAGGAAATCTGCCACCGTCGCTGAGTATAACTTGTTCTCTTTAGGATTAAATGAGGGGAGGGGTGCGTGCGTGTGTGGTTGGGGGTGGGGGGGGGGGTATGTGGAGGTATGTGTGTGAGTGTGGGGGGTGGGGTGTGGAGATGTGTGTGTATGGGAGGGTGGGGGGGAAGAAAAAGAAAGCAATTAAGAATTAAAAACATTCAGACTTTTAACGCAATAATCTTTGCGTTTGATACAGAACCTTATTGGGTTGGTGAGACATCTCAAAGCGCTTGGTACACAGGACACACGCTGCGTGGCCGTGTGTATTTTGTGGGGTGAACGCTGGCTCTTGAAGCTTCCCGCTACTTTTCTGGCTGGGGCTACCCGACCCACTAGGGCTTTGGGGTGCAGGGTTTGACAAGGAGCCAAGTGGGGGGAGAATTCCTGCCTCTTCCTCCTAAGTCGCTGGAGGTAATTACATTCCCAGAGTATGCAGCTCTAAAATGATACGTAATGAGGGCGCGCTACCATGGCCATTAATTCCGAGTGGCGGTGAATTTCGATAGCTTAAGCTTGGCTGTCCCGCAGCTCTTCCCCATCCTTTCTGAGGCCATAAATTGGTCGCCGTGAAGGTCATTAATCATTGCGATCTGCTGCTCAATGGATGTCTTACCGGCAAAGAGGGCAACATTGGTTTGCTGGGCATCGAACGGGCACCGTGCCAACCCGCTGACGTCTTCACTATTAGAATCTAGAGAATCCAACTGCATGAAATGAAGATAAATGAGAGCGTGCCATCACCATTGTTCTGCACAACAGCTGGGAAGCAATAGGATTTTAAATGGCTTTTAATGCAATTACTAAAGACTTAGTCGAGTGTCTTGCTTTTCTGTGATATTTCCATTACCCCTTTCCAGATGTCCAATATCGAAACACACTAAAAAAAAACACTCCCACACCCAGCAGATATAAAAAGAATTCTTCCCGCTTAAAGCGATCTAGAAACCGAGTTCCTTCTTCACTTCTCGTTCCCATTCCTCCTCCTCCAGCTCCTCCGCAGGGAGGGTTGACCGTGAAGTGGGGAATGGGGATGAGACGTTTGGTAGCTTGTCCCTATTTTTGTTTNAAAAAAAACTTCCATGTAGTTTAAGCCAGGATTTACTGTGAAGTGTAGTGACTGTGCATTTTGGTAGGCGAAGGCGCTTAGCCAATTTTGCGCACAGCAGTGTCCCGCAAACAGCCATGAAGCGAGTGACTGACTTTATCTGAGTGAGACACCGTTTCGATTAATGCCACGGGGTATTTGACATCCACCTGAACAGGCAGGCGGGACCACCGTTGCACACGTGTGACACGTAGAGTTACAAAATTTACACGCGCACGCATGAAGCAGGAATTTACGTGGATTACAAGCGACTTACCTTGTAGTACCTGCACACGGGGTTAAAGGCGTTCGTGCCACAGACAAACACGGTGTCTTCATTCTTGGGGACGAAGACCTTAATGAAATTGTGGCATTCTTCCTAATAGGAAAAAGGAAACCAAGAAATGCGTTATGACGCAAGTCTGATTTAATCACCGCATGGCACTGGCTCAATAAGTGCAGCAAACCCAAGGCCAGAAGTGCAAACATGAACCAGGCGTAAGGTATCAGTTACTGTACTCCGGTAAGTATCTATTAGCATAATGCCCTCGCTAATGCAGTAACTCCCATGTGTACATATTCCGACACGCATTTTCCAAGCAGGGTCTGACACAATAACAACAAGTTACCTTTATACAGCACTGTTCACGGCAGAACGTCTCAAAGTGCTTCGCAAGGCTGATTGGGAGCCCGAGCTGTGGCGGAACTAACGTAAGGGGGTGTGTGTGGGGGAGAGAGGAAGGTGGTCGAAAGTGCCATGGAAACAATTGGGTGGGTTTTGAATGGGGGAGGGGGCTGGAGTTTCAGGGAGCGGGGGACAGAATTTGTCAAATCTTGCTATGGTCGCAGGGGGGTGAGACCGAGGAGGAGTTGGAAAGCGAGGACGTGGATCTTGAACCCAATCAGCTGATACGTCACGAGAATAAAATAATTTGGGGAAACAATTTTTAGCACTTACCTTGTGCTTGCCCTTCATGGCACAGTTCTTTCTGTCTTGCAGTCTCGATTTCCAGGTCAGTTTCTATCAGGAATGAAGATGCAGAGAGCAGATCTTTATTGGTTTGTTGGCAATCGTATCTGACTAATGTTCAAAGAGGTTGTACTGTATGTAAACCACCGTCTCTTGAGTGGATGTGCTATTAATTTCACAAATAGCTGTGAGGTGGGAAGAGAGACGGACATTGAGACCTGTATAATGATGGACTGTGAAGGGGTCACTTTGATCCATGTGAAGGAGGAAAGTGACCGAAAGGAAGCTCTTAGCAACAACAATAGATTATATTGATTCATCACATCGAGAGGCCGTCTCAAGGCGCTGGACAGTCAAGGGACAGGCCTTAATGCAAGCTTTGAAAGTGGGGAGGGGGCTTGGGATGGAGTTTCAGAAAGCGGGGGTAGATTGGCTCAAAGCCCCCCCCACCCACCCACCCCTTCCCACTGATATTCAGTGGATCAGGCAGGGAGACACATGCAGAGCTGCAGGAGCAGCTGAAAGACTGAGCCAAGATCTATCAGCAGGCTGATTGCTTCCTCCTTGCATGGTCTTGGTTTAACGTCTCATCTGAAGGACGGCATCAGCTGCAATAGCACTGTACTCTACTGTAGCATCAGCCTAAATTACGTGGGCTCAAAATTCCTGAAGCGGCGGGCTCAAACCCACAACCTTGTGACTCAGACTTAGATTAGATTACCCTACCTGATGTAGGGTGATCCAATCTAATGCACTTTTATAACAGCTGCAGTGATGTGGTGTTGGTGGGAGACGGCGGAAATGGAAGATAGAAACAGAGAAGTAGCACAAACACAGAAAAGGGAAAAATTCAAGGATTTAAAAATAAAAATAAAAAGTTGACTTACTTTGCTGGAGATGATTTCTGCTTTCGGAGGATCATTTAAATTAACAGCATAGACCTGGTCCCTATAAAGATATAATTTAAGACCATAGCATGCTTTAATGTATTGAACTTCAAACACAGATAGAGAAAGAGAGAGAAAAAAACATTTGAATCTAAGCCTTTTCTTTCCCCGCTTTTATTCACATTTGATGAGATTTACTGCTGGGGGATTCGAGGTTAATGTATAAATCTGAGATTTAATATGTATGAGGAGGCGAAGAATATAAAGCACTAAAATAAGCGAGATTAAATAAATTACCTGCCAGCGATGTACAGTGTGTCTTGGATTTTCAACATTAGCTGATAGTCCAGTCGGTGAAAAGATTCATTTCCTAAAAGGCGTCCCCTGAATACAGGATATTGCCTTGCATCTGGAGAAGAGAATTTAGTTACACCCTGACCCAGAATACCATGTAGCGAGAGAAATCCATGCATCACATTAGCTTTCTACGTGCACAATGACAGTCCAGCCAGCCTGGCTTACCGGCAGGGATTTGTTTTTGGTCGGCCGGGAGTCTGACACAAGCGGAAACCCATCACCGTGCTTAAGAGTCCCCAAACCAAGCTGAGAATTCCATGCATCATCCCACCTACACATGGAAATTCCAGAGACAGATGGTCGGAATGGAATGCACACTCTCTCCCTGGAGGGATGCATCCTGCTTAAATAATTCCGGAAAGTATTAGGCCCACGTTGGCAAAAGACAAGGTTTGGGGTTCCCAGAGGTTGGGGTAACTGTTGGGAGTCTAACTATTGCATAACTTGCCATTGATATCGCTGTCTGGCAAGCGTTCCCTCTGCTTGTCCAGCTAGGACTACCTTATCCATAAAGGCTTTGGCTTTCAGAGTTAACAGGAGCCGAGTGGGATGATACCCCGGCCCCAGTCACTGCTCTGCCCTCTTAAATGAGCCAGGCTGGCTGTCTAGGAGCAGCAGACCTGGCGTTCCTTGGGAGCAGGGATTCTTCTCATTTGGCTCCTCTTAACCCTGAACACCAAAGCCCTCCTTTCCGGGTAGGGTTGCGTTAACCGAATAAGCAGTGGGAAAGCTTCCCAAACAGTGCTCGCTGGCTGAAATCTATACATACAAGGTGTGCCTCTTGACTTCACGCCTGAACAGAAACAAGCTGCTCTAGTGAATGGTGGACACCCAGTGAGACACTCATTAGCTCTCGCTTCATACACTGGTAACATATCAGGTGTTGTGTTGAGCCAGCACCAACCAAAGAATCCACCTGCAAACAGCCAAACCCTTGACACTTCAACCGTGAGGTAACTCTACAATAAGGAGATACACACACCGACCAGCCGGCCTGCAGTCTGCCTCTCTCCGCCTCTGAATTCCTGTAACATTGTTTTTCATTGTCTGTGGTCATCTTCCCTCCTCCACCCAACCCCCCTGCGCTCTGCAGCCCTCTTTGATCCCAACCTGCAGCTCGGGTGCAAACCCCTCATTGCCCGGTAATTTGGGGGCATCCTCTCGATGTGTAAGATGCTGTCTAAATGCAATTTGTTGTTGCTGTTGTCTTGGTTTATGTCGGGTGGAAAGCTCCGTTAACCTTCATTTCAGACACTAATGCTGGAGTTGTGTCAGCCGAGTGAAGAGTTTCTCCTTACAGCGTTGTGCTTTGGGGGAGGGGGGAGGCGGGAGGGTGTTAAAAAATTGAATTTTTGTTGTTCCTTTTGAAGAGAAATCTCCTCTTATCATCCAGTTGGCATTCCCTGATATAAACAAGAAACTTGCCCTGACAAACTAGGTATTTTGGTATTTTCTCAGATGTCACTCCTGGCCCCACCTGGACCTGATCTGCGTCTGAGGTGAGTTTAATGCCTGGGGCAGTGCAGTTAAGTCAGAGTTGTTGGCTCGCCTCACATCACCTTCCTTTGCCTCACTGTTAAATGACAACACTTTTCTTTAAGTGAGTTTTCCCACGGGCACAAATATAGAACCACAACTACTTGGGTTTACACAGCGCCCTTCACATAAAGGGTAATGCCTCGGAGCGCTTCACAAGAAAAGGTTAAGAGGTGGAGCAAGAGGGAGGGGGAGAGGTAGCCATAGGCGTGTTCCAAAAGGTAGGATTTGCAGTGAGAGTTGAAGAGAGGGAGGCGAGGCGGAGGGGAAGAGCGAGGGAGTTCCGGAGGTTAAGGGCATAGGAACTGAATCCTTGACCACCAATGGCGGTGCTGGTGGTGGTGGTGGGGGGGGTGGAGGGGGAGAAGGATTAGGGGACCCGCGCAGGAAGTCAGAGTTAGAAGAAGTACATTGCAAAGTGGTTTTGCTGCAGGATGGTTCACTCACGGTGGAAGTCTATTGTATTAATGGGCTCGTCGTCCTCAGGGAAGCTGACTGCTACAGATGGCTGAACCGCCAAGACCAGGAGAGTGACGCCCAAGACGAAACAGTCTCCGAAGAGCTTCATGGTGGGCACGGGACGACCCTTCGTGAGACGAGAGCTACCTGCAAAGGAAACAGATTTTGTAGAGTCAGTTAAGTCATGATTAAACCAACGGACAAACAACACACAAGTCTTTCATCTCGAGAGGACGTCTCAAAGCACTCCACGGGACGTTCTGTAAAGTGGAGTGACTGTGCATTTTGTAGACGAACACAGCAGCCCATTTTGAGCACAGCAATGACCCACATAAAGTCATGGAGTGACTGACCGATTTTATCTGGGGGATTGTCGGCCAGGAGACCGGGAGGGAGACACTCACTTCTCTTTTCGAATGGTGCCGTGGGATCTTTAGCATCTCACACGAGCAGGCAGGTGGGTAACTTCTCAACTGAAGGACGCCCCCCCCCCCCCACCCTCACCCCACCCCTGACAATGCAATGCTCCCCCAGCACTGCACTGGCGGGTCAGGGTAGTGGGGAGGAGGAAGAAACATGAGTTAAAAAGAATGTGATGGAGAAACCCAATGATCTCATGGCAATAAAGGCCTCAGAAGCTTGGGGAGGACAAATCTGCAGGGCTGCGGGGAGCAAGCGGGGAGTAGGATTAATTTGGATAGCTCTTTCAAAGTGCCGGCACGAACACGGTGGGCCGAATGGCCTCCTTCTGTGTTGTATGATTCTACGATTCTATGAAGTCGGGAACACTGAGAAAGAAGCTTGGTTAAAGCCCTCGAAGCCATGACTATATCAAATGCGAGGGCTATTGTCATGAATTAGCGCAACGGGTTAGCCACAATACAACAACGGTTTTAGAATCTTGTTTGTGCCAAAATAACAGCTGAGGTTTTTCCACTAAAAACGTTGTTAGTCATTTACTGTCAAATCAACTTGACTGGAACCCGACCAGCCATATCAAGCAAAAGTTCACACTTTATAACTCTTTATTTCCCGCAAGACTGAAAAAAAAATTATTTTTTTTTCAACAATCCTCGCCTTTGATACAACGCCTTATCATGTGGTCTAGACAGTCTCAAAGCGGTCCACGGGATTTTCTGAGAAATAGGTGTACTTTGTAGGTGAACACAGAAGCCAATTTGCGCACAGCAATGACCCCCCGCAAGTAGCCACGGAGTGAATTTTCCCCTGGAGGGAGGGGGTGGGGGGAAGGAGTGAGAGACCGCAGGTTCAGTTTCCAGCACTGCCCTCGAGTCCCAGCCTGGAATATCCGAAACCTCGACGCGAGAGCTTGAACCCACAACCTTCTGACTCAAGAGGCGAGAGCGTGACTGATGAACCAACGGGGATTTTGTCCTCAACGAACAATCGGGGCGAAAAAATCCCTCGCCCCACCCCCGAAAAAAACAGCTCCTTATTGTACAAGGAATCCTCACCCAACGTGGCGTGTATTGGAGCTGGGAGCGATGCCACTTTGTTCCCAGCAGCGTAGGGTTGCAGGCGCTGATTAACATTTCCTGCACTGCGTGGCACTGAATCGATGCCAACGAAAGCAAACTCTGTTGTTTAGCACGCAAGCGTAACGGTGAAATAGAGCGTTCGTTTTCGTTTGAAATCTTATCCGTCGGGAGATCGTGCGAGCGGCTCTTTAGCGACATGGGGCAGGAGTGACGCAATCGTGGAGCCGAGGAGCACCTCAGGACTCTGGCCGGTAGAAGGCGGAAAGCTATGTCGCGGGACGCCACTCGTACGTCAACCATTAGCCGCAAAGTCGGACGCTCACCCCGAACAGCTGTAGGTTTTTTTTTAACCGAACTTCCCCGCTTCAAACCGTGAAGCGCTTTGAGACGTCTCGACGACTTGATTAAGTGCTATATCAAACACAAGGGTTACTGTTAATAGATAATAAGAGTATTATTCTTTCTATCAGAAAGTTTTCAGCTCGGGGCCTGGGGTGGTGGGGGGGGGGGGTGCGGAGAGGGGGGGGGGGGGAGAAGACAAAACATGGTGCCAGCGTTTCACAGTAAAAGTATATAAAGGCCCAGCATGGTACAGCACTCCACTGGCACGATGCCACCGTAAAGGCTCCGTTGCCGCTGAGCATGTTCAGACCCGTATTTCAGTCATTGAATAAAAGGGGTGGGTATCAGGTTTAAGGTGAGCGGATGTGAGTGGATATACAATGATGTTGATGTACTCTTCCCAAATGTCAAAAGAGTTTATATTCCCTTTACTCAGAGCCTTAAAATCCACAGTTCCTCCCAAGCAACAGCGTCAGAATTGGTCACTTATAACCCTTTACCTGTTGTCTTCTCTCGCGTACCTTCCCCTCTCAGTCTGGTAATTTAATGGTCTGTAAAGCTGCTCTCTGGGTGTGAATAAAGACAGTATTTGGCTGTACCCAGACACCGTGCAGTCAGTGTTCTTGACGTTACGCGTGTGATATCAAATGCAAATGATGATGACGATTATTATAATAATATTATTATTAGTTATGATTAGGGAGCACTGGGCATCGATCTCTCTTACCCTCACCTCATCGACAAATTTGTATCTCGCTTTTCATGCAAAAAACACATGTCAAACTGTTTGTCTACGAGAGCTGTTGACATTGAGCAAAACACGGGAGGGGTATAGAATTTTTTTTACTGAGAAGTGAAGAGACTAAGAAGCACAGTGACTACACTTCACAGTAAAATCCTGCGAGGAGCTTTGAGACGCTTCAATGACAATGATAAGGCGCCATATCAAATGCAAGGAATATTATTACTGTATTATTTGCACGACGCAAAATATCAGTGATCAATAGTATCTGGATTTGTGAGGACAGATGAATGTGATCTGAAAGTTTATCCAGCCACAATCAATTAAATATTGTGTAACGAGTCGAGCCATGTTTCTTATGGGAGGGGAGAGGGGGGAGGGGAAATGGGGGAAAAAGAGAGGGGGAAGTATTACAGCGGTTCCAGAATCATAATATTTACTTCCTGTGCGGTATTTTTAATTTCAGTGCTAATTGAGGAAACCTGTGTATCGGATTTCTGTGCCGTGTCGGGTTGTGTTGCCCTTTAGCTGATATGATCACATATCTGTGCATCGAAATAGCTGCACTCAGGTTGCAGGTCGGCTGCACACATTAAAGGTTTACGAGAGCATTTCGTCCTTCACCTCCCGTAATTGCACACGACGGGAGCGGAATTAAAGCTTCCCCTCGACATCATGCTCCGCCACCATCAAGCGTTCTGAGACGCCACCCTACGTGAGGGGCGCTATATAAATGCAAGTTGTTTGTTGTTGTTGTCCCAGCACACAGGGCTCCAAATCAAAAGGGCAATAGCAGAAGCCTAGAGTTGTCGGGATGTGGAATGCTCTACCAAACCAGGTGCTAGAGGCAGAGTCCAGCGTGGTTTGGTTTCAAGAGAGAACGAGACAGGTATATGAAGGATAGAGGCTTAACGGGGGATAGGGCACGTAAGCTTGCTCTGAGAGCCAGTGCAGACTCAATGGGCTAATAGCCTCCTTCTGTGCTGTAAATGTATAATAATAACAATAATAATCCTTGCATTTGATACAGCGCCTCAGGGCATCACAGGATATACTTTAAACTGCTGGGACTGTGCATTTTGTGGATAAACGTGGCAGTCAATTTGCGTGCAACAAATGTCCCACAAACAGCCAAGCAGCAGGCAACCAATTTGTTTTTTCAAACAGTGCCACGGGCTACTTAATGCCCACCTTAACAGGCGCAGACGGGACCTCAATTTAAAGTCTAATCCGAAGAACAGCACCTCCGATAATTCGGTGCACCTCACAACCTTCTGAATCAGAGATGAAAGTGCAATCAACAGAGCCGGGCTGACACACACATCTCTACGATTTTATCAGTGCGTACACCGCTGGAAAAAACTGCGGGGGTGTCTGGTAGCATCAATTGCCGACAATTGCAAAGACTCCAAGCTAATTACAATGGCTTTTTAATATCCTTCGTAACTTTCAAGGTCAGGCGCTTTATTTGATCATCATTCTGCTCCGCACAGTATAAAACTCAGGAGCTGCGAGCACACTCCAAAAATCAAAGGAACAGCATAACAAAAGGGTAATTATCTCTCCGTGGCTCGGTTTAACTGTAAGGATTACTATTGTTATGATTGCTGTTGTTTAAAATCGGAATTCCAGTCATAAGTAGGGTGGGGGAGGGAAGGGGAGCGACAGGGAGTGGGGGTGTAGGGAAGGAAGGAAACTCTCCAAGTCAGACAACAGGAGTTTTTCTTTGTATGTTACCTAAAAAAAAGGTAAACGGCGGATTCTTCCGGCGAAATGAACCGATTACACAGGCAGGATGACAAGAGTCTCTGAAGCTGCGATGTTCCTCACCGAGCACTCAGTAATGCACAGCGGCCGCCGCGTGTAAAAGGGAGCCAATCCGGATCATTAAGAGGTTCGGCTGCTGCCGTGTTTGACGTGCGAGACCGTCCACTTAACGTTCAAAACACACCACTATCCTTAAACTTGACACAGAGGCCTCTCGCCCCGTCACAACGTCTCAGGGGATTCTCTGGGTCTAAGTCTTTGAGTAGGTGGATGCGGCAGCCACACTTGTCCTCAGCAACGTCCCGCTAATCGGCTGAAGGAGAATGACCCTGGTTTTAGCTGGGGCAGGGTTAAAGTACGTCTCGAAATCTTGCTCTTCTACTGTGCCTTTGATCACTCTCCTACCCCTTAACCCTCCCTGCCCCGCACCACCTCCTGATCCCAACCCCCAGCTCGGGTCCAAATCCTTGACTGTCCAGCGCCTTGGGACGTCCTCCCGACGGGAAAGAAAGGCGCTGTGTAAATCTCATGTATTCTTGTTGTGGCTTTGTTTAGTTTGTCACTCGCGAGGATCCAACGTTTGATGAAAAGAAGGATAAACAAAACCCTGGGCCTGTGCAGCGTCTCGAGACGTCCCGCTACTGCGAAAAGCATGATCACAAATGTGAGGTTCATTATTATTGTTAATTATTATTATTATAAATTTATGAACGCAGCATTTCAGAGAATCCAGAATTTGATGTATTCTTAAAACGGGGTCTTTTAATTTAATTTTGAAGCCGCCCCTTTTTGTTTGC